TGATATTTGCGGTGTTACTCTGAGTGCATATCCACACCGGGCGAGCTTGAAAAATATGCCCGGCCACGGTGGGATTCGAACCTACGACCTTTGGAATACTAGGCCAATGCTCTTCCAACTGAGCTACGCGGTCAGGACGGTTCGAGTAAGTATTCATATTACTAGAATACATTGGTATTGAAGGAACTAGATTCTGTTCTGAAATATCACTTACTCGAACCGTCCTGACCGCGTAGCTCAGTTGGAAGAGCATTGGGCTAGTATTCCAAAGGTCGTAGGTTCGAATCCCACCGTGGCCGGGCATATTTTTCAAGCTCGCCCGGTGTGGATATGCACTCAGAGTAACACCACAAATATCATATTCACCTGAGTACACTACACCAACACAGAAAAAAAAAATTTAAATATGAGTCATCATGCTTTGAATAGGGATGACGGCGCCTATTTGCCAGAAGAATATATGCATCTTCTTGGCAGGTGACGTCATCCCTTGGGTATTTAAGAAGCCACGATCGCAGTTTTAGATCACCCCTGATGAAGACACTAGACTGGAGTGTCGAAACGTTGGGTCTTGATTACAATTCGACTGGGCTTTGTAATCATTTATTTAAACCAGAGTAGCGAGCGAAACATGATAAATTACTATGATCGGAAAAAATGTAAAATTTCGTGTTCTCTTATACGAGAAATAAACTATACCACTAGAAAGAGCGTAAAAAACTATATATAAGATAACTTAGGCGACTAGTGCGATTTTCAAGCCGACTTTGAATTAAAGATGGTTAAAGTTGGCAAAATGGGTACTAATTAGCATTAATTTGGTCATTTCTGCATTTTTTAACATTAAAAACTCGAAATAGGATTGGAAAAACGTAGAACTCACTTAATTGTCTTATATACAGTTTTTTACGCTCTTTCTAGTGGTATAGTTTATTTTTCGTATAAGAGAACATGAAATTTTACATTTTTCCGATCATAGTAATTTAATAGGCAAAATTTAAAAATTCTCAAATTTTTGGCTATAAAGCAAAAATCAGAAGTGGTAACACACACAGTCTTGTTCACCAAGGCTTAAACTATAAGAAAATGCCTGTTACCAGCTTCTAACATAAAGTTGCCATCAAGTTGTACAAATTGATGACTTGGCCGGCCATCTATTTGATACAACCGGCCCCAGAGTTGAAAAGGGAGCAATTTACGAAAATTCTATAAAAGAAATTATTAAGAAATTATTTAATACCAGAAATCCTGGTTTCTGATTGGATAATTAGCCATGCACATGCTCAAAACGGCTGTTTTCCAAAGTCAAACTCCTGCTATCGCAAGAAAGCAGGAGTCGAGTTATATCTTTTCTAGCATCTTTCTGCAATATAAAATATGAGGGTATTATTTACTGCCAGTTCACAAGTTAATTGTTTGTCTGCTTTATGCATTGAAACAGGAGCACTTATATAGAGTTGAAAAAATTATATACCAATTTAGACTTAGGGACCGCTCATTATTTATTGTACAGGGGGGGGGGACTCAGGAGAAACTCTACAGTCTTAATATTTTTCATTGCCCCCCTCTTAAGACAAGTAGAGTTTCAAGTCTCCCCCCCCCCAACAGGCAAAAGAAGAACATAAATTTTGGAGCCCCCCCCCCTCGACTCCAGCTTTTTCCTTAGAAAATAGAAAAGCATAAATAGAAAAGATATGTCAGTTTGTAAACTTTTCCAGTGTGCCTCTAAAGAACCTTGTAGCAGTTCTGCCGGATCTTAAAGTTATGTTTATGAAGGGAACAATCAAGCCAACCATCTTCTCAGTCAAAGTCACAAAACCAACTCATAACCCAATTCTTGTCAGTTGCCTCTGGAACTGAAAAGAGTGCAGTGGAAGATGCAAGCACATCTACAATGGATATACTCGAGGATGATTCTAATGATAGCACATCAGACGATGAAGGTGACTTTGATATTGACCACTTCCTTAATTAAATACATATACACCTTATGAATGGATGCCAAATCAATATTCTTTCATTTGCATGTAAATTTGGTCCTCATTTAATAATATTTCATTTTAGAGAAACAAAAATAGACCAATTTTATACATGAACATATTAAGAGACTATTTTATAGTTGGCTTCCATTTATGAATATTCATATTAAACAGGCCCTACAGTCATTTTTTAGTCAAGTAAGTATTGTTTACATTTTTTTGTTATTGTCGCTACTTGACATGCGCATCACGGCATGCATGCGTCTTCCAGTGTGCGGAAGTACTCATACTCATGGATACTGCATGTAAGATACAAACAAATCTCCAAACAAATCTCCGTGGAGTCCCCTACTTAAGGTGGCTTTTCGACTAAAAAATGACTGTAGAGTCCCTTTAAAGGTCTATCAACATTGTTTATATTTGTTGTTTTGTGATACATTTTTAAAACTTCTAATGTTTTTCAAACTAGTAAATATTTTCGAAGCCGCCCATCTTTCATCTCTCTGTATTTTTTCAAAGCCCCCCCCCCCGATGTCAGGCTTTAAAAAATTTAAAGCCCCCCCCCCAGTTTCTCCTCAGTCCCCCCCCTGTACAATAAATAATGAGTGGTCCCTTAAAAAAGTGTATCAGTGTATAGATATTTGGCTGCAATTTTATTAATACCATAGCATACAGATTTGCACCCAGAGTGCCAAGTGTAGTGAACTGTCAATGGTCTGTAGTTGATACCAGCATGACCACTGATAAGATCATTGTCAATGGTGAAAAAATAGCAGACAATGGTTGTCATGCAATTAAAATCTGATACATAGTAATTATTCTATAAATAATTTCCAGACTGAATGTAGATTTTATCAATAAACATGACTTTAACAGTTCCTATTGGATGGATTTAATTTAATGAATATAAGTAAAGTTTATGCAAAGGCAGAGTTAACTTGACAAGGGCAAAAATTTCTTGATGTGTTTTCAGCAGTCCCTCCTTTCTCCCGAGGGATTGCTCACAGTATAAACACTGGGGTGCCTTATTACATCAAGTCATACAGTATGGCATGGTTATGTCACTTCAGCACTTTTAAGTTTTTTTGCTCATTGTTAGCAGTGTAACCACCCACATACCCTGCTAGTCGGGGGTGGCATAATTTGCAGTGGCAACCCAGTGTGAGATCGAACTTCATGCTTATCTCATAACAACTACCCTTAGCTCTGCACTGGAATCGCAGAGGTGCAGCCAGTTTGATTCCTGCTGGGAGTGGAGAACCTAATGTTTCCAGTTACCATAGCAGAGGTGTAACTTAACACTTGCACGCTTGCTCGAATGGGCAAGTTGCCTTGCCACAAAAACCTGGGCATCTTCAAGTTTATGTTTTCATTGTTGGATAAGTTTTTCTGTATTTTATTCAAAAATTGCATTGTATTTGATTCAAATTTTGCGGGCCAAAGTCAAATTTTGCGGGTTTTTTGCGGGCCAAAGCTAGATCTGATTATACCAACCAAATTATACCAACCATCTCAGAATACAACTTGTCACACATCGAGGAAAAGCACCAAAAACTTCTGTTTTATTAAAATATGTTTACTCTCAGTCACTTCACCATGGGGAAGCCCGGCTCGGATGCGAGATTCAAAGTCCATAATGGCGAGGGCCGCGTACTCTCACCCTGATGATATTTCTCCAGCTTTTCTGAGGGCCCCTCGCCCCCAAGAAACCGCACTTATACCCTCACCCAATTTGGCCACAAAAGATTTGCGTGATTTATTAATTTATCATAATATATATATGTTCATGATAATCAAATAATCAATGTTGGTAAACTAATGACCTCAATTTTATATATAGACTTCTATCGGTTAAATATTGATTATGTGTAATACCTGATCCATTTGCACTTCGACTTTGTTGATGCTATCGCCATGCAAATCTTGTCTACCAACCGTATCGTCCTCAAATATGTCATCCTCAACATGAACATCGTCTTCTATGTTTTCATCAACACCAGGGGCAATATTCTCTTGCTCAAATAAGACGTCGTTTAGATTCTGTTCCTACAGAAATGATCAAGTATGACATTCGAATGTGATCTTGTCTGACTACAACATATACTAAAAATATGATCGTTTTAAAATAATTTTAAGAGCATATATTATAAAAACTAACCTCAAAAATATCGTGATTATTATATCCGTCAAGATGATCCATACGGCATCGTTTGCGTCTGTCACAACGTGTCGATTTTGGAACGGCAATACTTGTGTCCAATTCGTATTGTTTATAGGGGCCCCTACGGGCCATCTTCTATACAATTACTTCAAAAAATGCTGTTTTGTTTTGCCAAATCTATGTGCTATTGTGCTGAATTTCTAGTCTATAGAGTAGATTCTTTCAGTACAAAGACAAGAGAGATGTGAGAGAGCACAGAGAGACTGAGGAGAGTATAGAGAGAGAGCTGTTATTGGACAGCACCATAGCAACGCATGCAAAGGCGACCAATCAGATGGCTTGCGCAAGTGTCTTTATAATCTCACTCGCGGCAGATTCAAAACCTTTCTTTCTCTCCGAAGTTCAGCTCGCCGACTGGTTTAGTTTCTTGGAAGTCCACATATTACATATACAAATATACAATGAAATTTGCGTTGTTTGAATTCACTGAAGATAGCAGCTGTGCAGTAGGCGAAAGAAACTGGATTGTTGATGAAAACAAAGTCGAGATATTACCAAACGACGAAGTTGTCATGAGCTGGCCAAAGCCAACAAATTACACCAAGTGGTCGAATAAAAATGGTGCGAAAGCCCTGAATGAATCTGAAACGGTTGACAACACAAAACATGCTGCCAAAGTCTTGAAGTTCAGTGGTAAGTTGGCATAAACTAGTGAGTTTTTTCATCAAATGTTTAACCAAATATTGATTCAATGCGCGTTTCGTGTCACATGTAGTTTGCTGCCAGGCCCCCCTGCAAAAGAGGTAGCGGGGGGGGGGGATATTACTGTAAATATTGCTTTGTTGTATTAAGTTTATATTAACACCTTTGCTTCTAAGTTGTAAATATTAAAATGTTTACATATCTCATGTGTTGACCTGCTGTACATGCTATCTTACAGATGATTTTACAGATATTCGTGGCTCCATGAACACTTATGTTCTTACTGGTAGGACCAAAACACCAACCTGGGGAAGAGGACAAAGGCAAACGAAAAGAAACATCAGATATTCGGAAGATAATGTGCAAAGTGCTGTTGTTGTAAGCATTAAAATAGCAGTATATATAATTATATTTTGTTTTCCACACTCATCAGGTAAATTTATTGTAAAATTCACTTGATGAGTGTGGCTTAACATTGCTTGTAATACAAAACAAGTAATTTGTAGTAAATAAATCTTATGAAGTAAACCAGATTTTTATTTTTACTTACAAGCTTTGTCATAAATGACGGGTGACCCCTACAGGACTTATTTTCCCATCCACAGGGTATCAATTATATCTAGTGATATCAGCTCTATACTTTGGTATATCAAGCACTCTGCTCAAATACGATTCTAAATACATATTTGGTATATATATATATTTTGTATATATATATATTTGATATATATATATATTTTGTATATATATATATTTGGTATATATATATATTTTGTATATATATATATTTTGTATATATATATATTTTGTATATATATATATTTTGTATATATATATATTTTGTATATATATATATTTGGTATATATATATATTTGGTATATATATATATTTGGTATATATATATATATATATACATATATATATGTGTATGTGTATGTGTATGTGTATATATATGTCTATATATATATATGTCTATATATATATATGTCTATATATATATATATATGTATATATATATATATATATATATGTATATATATATATATATATATATATATATATATATATATATATATATATATATATATATATATATATATATATATATATATATATATATATTTATATATTATATATATATATATATATATATATATATATATATATATATATATATATATATATATATATATATATATATATATATATGTATATGTATATGTATATGTATATAATATATATATATGTATATGTATATGTATATAATATATATATATGTATATGTATATGTATATGTATATGTATATGTATATATATATATATATATATATATATATAT